CGCAATGGTTCAAGAAAATGAAGGAGGCTAAATAATTCTTCTACTGTGTTCTGCAGTGGGGTACCCGTTAACAGCACTTTATGCTCCTATAAAAGGAAACAAAACTCACATGATCTTATGTGCACACATTTGCAAAAATCTGTGTTGAGTCTGAGTGTCATAACCTGAAAATACCAGTTCTGCATGTCACTAAGTACACAGGTAATACAGATAAACAGATTTATAAAAACAACAGTATTTCCTACTAGCTTTTTTAAAATTCTGTCTTCCTGCATCTGTAATGAAGAAATGACTGAACTCTTCAACTTCTGCCTGCAATATTCACACATGTATAATCCTCTCTCTATATAGTGTGGAAAATACACACTAAGCATGTATCAGAAAGCGAGACAACTTCTCAGAACATGTAGCAACAAGTGTATCAAAAGTCATAAAAAAGTCAATGCAAAACTTGTCATGGTGCATCTTGTAGCATTGCACCAAAAGCCTCAAGATTCATGGTAGTATCTGGTTTTAAGAATCTTGCACTATATCAAAGAAAACCTTGAATATGGGAGTAGACAGTAATTCTGTTTTAAATTCTACCACTTCCTTAGTAGTGTTATAACTTACTTGCTTTTATTGTTAAATAACTCTTTTAAAATACTTTCTAGGTTTTTAAACATTAATCACTGCACAAAAAGTATTTAATTATTAAAAGGCACATTTTAAATGGAATCTGCATCATAATCAAAACAAACTATAGAATAGTATCATCAGAAATGGATTCTACTTACAGTTAGAACTTGCCACATTTTATTTCATCAAAAACATACCACCATCAGCTATCAAAAACACATACATTTGAAGAGAGTATCAGGAATAGGTATCTCCTGAGACAGACTGCTTGAGAGGTCTTTTTTGGCAGGTATAACAAATTTGTGATTCAGTATCGTACTATACTTAACAAGAATCAAACCCAAAAAGTGAACTAAAGTTACTCACAAGGTTCATTAATTTTAGTCCTTCCAAGAGTTTGCAATTTTTGTTCTTCAGTCTGTGAGCTTCATCAATAATAACACACCGCCATTCAATTGCATTTAACTCTGGACACCCACCAAGAATCATTTCAAAAGTTGTGATAATGGCTTGGAATCTGTAGGTACCTCGAACGATACGTCCCTAGAGATTCATCAACACACAAAATTTGTTACATTACCTCAAATATACTCAATTTAAAGATTTTGTTGCTGAAATTTTATCAGAAGCCACACATCAGATTTTACACTATAAATTGTTTTGTCATCCCATACACATTTACTATATCTCTATGACTCTGTAATTAATACTAATGAGTAATTATCCATAGCCACAAATCCAGTATTGTCTAACCAACAGTAAAATTTTAAACACTTTTAAATTATAGATATAACCATCTAATAAAACTGTTTCAAAAGGTGCATGCAGAAAATATCACATTTTTAACCCTGGGAAAACCTGAAAGACTGACAAGGAAAACCCTACAGTCAATTAACCAAAATACATGACGGTAATACATTTATTACTTACTGTATGAGTGCTAAAAGTATCACCTGATTAACACTTTTTTTAACAGCTTACTCTACTCCCTTGGTCTAACAAAGAGAATACATAAGGCCTTCAATAAGACAGTATACAATAACTCACTAGAGAAACAAGATATAATTTTAGTATTTAGCACTTCTTAAAAAAAAGTCTTCAGCCTTACCAATTTTGTAGAAATACCACGATAGTTTAAAAATTTTGTTTATTTATACAGAATATATAGAAAAGCCCCCCCCCTTTATAATAGTCAGATTTCAATTTTTTTTTTCATGCCATCTAATGTGAAGTATTTCAGACAGAAAGACAAACTGTACACAGACAAAGCTAGTTTACACTAGGAAAAGGAAATCAACAGCTACCTAAAGGTAACATAGAGCTTAATCGGCTGTATTTTTGTTCTCACTGCTCTTCAAATTCAGGACCCAACTGCAACCATCTGTGTACACTTTAATCTCCACATGAGTATCGGCATCACTGCTATTCAATTGCAAAATTACTCAGCATACTGAAACATACATCTTGCTGCAACCACTTTCACAAAATTTACTCAGTAACCATATGTTAAAGATTCTGATATAGAAAAAGCTTAAAAAACACGTAATTGGATGTAAAATGACTTTCACTAAGACATATGTACAGAAAACGTAAAGCATACTTTTCATTATTACTACCTAAAACAGGTTTTGGCTAAGTTACTGAATACAAGTGACACTACAATACCTGGGAGTCCCTGAAGTACATTTCATACTGCTGAATCATCTGCCTGCTGATCATACTTCCATGATACACTACAACATTCAGGTCAGTCCACGTGCGAAATTCTCTCTCCCAGTTTGTTATAGTGGAAAGCGGAGCTATGATCAGAAAAGGCCCTCTTATACCAGCCAGGAGGATTTCATAGAGGAATGTAATTGACTGAATGGTTTTGCCAAGACCCATTTCATCTGCTAAAATGCAATTTCGCCTGAAAGTAAAATATATTTATTTGTTACTAGCATCAAAGAAAGTACAGACACTAAAGGTGTTACTCAAATGGACAACTTATAAAAACAAGCTCAAAATATACCAGTTTAAAACAATCGTAAAAATGGAGGCACTGTAAAAGATGCTTGCAAATGTTCCCGGTTATGGTGAAAGAATGAACTCGGTACACAAAACCACAAGCTTTCAGTCATGTTTAGCACTGGCAAAACCTGAGCATGGAATGTTCCCCGAGGTTCTCCTAGAAAAATATTCAAAAAGTATTCTTCTGGGACTACATCTGCCCTAACTAAAGGAATTTAAATTAATCAGATTTCCTACATGTACACTCAGCTTGACAGAACTGCTAGAAACTAATGAATATTCCCTAAAAGTCACAGATGGAAAGTATCCTAGCTACACTCACATAAGAGGAGTGCATTATGGCATCACTGACAAATTTCTCCTCTTGTTTCCAAAACTGAGACAGATGCACATAAGCAAATTGCTACATGAAGTACCGCTAGGTGCTCACCCTCAGCCATACATTCCAGCCCTTCACTCTGCACAGATGCTCACACAGCTATGTAGTGCTTGACTGCAAATTAAAATGAAATTTTCTTTTGCAGATCATGAAACTGTATGGTAAAATGGTATGCTCGCTGACATAATCTCTATAAAGGACAGGCAACTGATATTTTGGAAATAAAGCAGGAAGATTAATGAATAGAAATCCAACTTAGACACAGAAAATATATAGTTCTGGAAAAAATCTTGGAGGTCTTTATATTCCCATTAATACATCACAGCATTAATGAACAAAAGTTAACTTTAGCTTACAATATAGAAAACACAATTATTTACCAGCCTTATTTATTAGAGGTAACTTTATTTGAAATACATACTAATTCTAGAAATCATTTTGAAAGATGCAAGTGTTTCTCAGTTGTTCCAAAAATTCTGAAAGCTTGTACTTTGATGGAAGTTGCTTTTTGTTTTAATTTCCCCATAGCCATTAAAAATTTATTTTCAGTTAGGTTAGTTTTATTCTTTTAAGATTTGGGTTTTTTTATTCTTGTTGGTAAAAACAAACTTGTACACCTGAAGGAAATTTGGGTTTTTTCCAGTTACACCCTTTTAGCTATAAGCAGAGAAGTTAAGATAAATTTAGTTAAAACAGTATTCATCCCCAGTAACAGCAATTCACTCCATTTTGTTTAAAATTTACATTAAAAAAAACATTCCATGCATATACCTATTGTACCAGTTGAATAGGAGCCAGTTAAGTCCTTCCAGTTGATATTCCCTGAGCTGATTGCCATTTTTATATTCCCTGGACTGGTCTATCTTCTTCCAGGAGTTTGGAGGTGGTCGGTCCTTTAAGGGAAAGATTAATGCATGTGCAAGTTGGTACATGCTTTATTTTTCCAAAACATTTTAACCCACTATTTCCTGAGTGTACCAATTTAGATTTAGAATGTAATTATTCAACCTTAAAACTGGGAAGGTGTCGTTGTTAACACTACTTACTTATTACTAGTCTGCGGAAACCTGAAACTTGTATTTATTTGTCTATATAAATTAATACTTTTAGAATTAATTTAAGACTCTATTATAACAACATCAAGCAACTGATTTCTAAAACTAAACTTGCAAATAGCTTGGCACTGGTAATTTGAAACACTGATTCATTTATATGAGAAACTCCAAGAATACATGAAGTTTCACTTTGGAAGCTCTAAGAAGAGCTGTCCTACAACCAGAGTCAACTGAGTATTTGGGACTACCGAAATCCCCAAAGTCTAAGTAACTCTGGATGCAGATGCTACCCCCTGAAGTACTTTGGGCAATCTACACTGAGTTACCATGATATTGCCCTTTCCTTTCTGTGCTTGCCCTGGTCGCTGCTGATCACTCGATCTCACAGTTAGCCAATTCAGGAAGCCAACACGAGGAATACAAAAAAGTAGACTTGAGAGTGGTTTAGTTCCCTGAATCAATTTCACCAAGGGTCAGATGAAAGACAGTATCAGCATATGCAGGATCATGATACAAAGAAAGTATCAAAACAGACTGTAACAGTATCAAGGTATATCATCTTAATGTCCCTAGCAAGCTAAGGGAAAGCTGAGAGCCTACATATAATAATAATAATGATAAATAAACAAATAAAACCACACACACACACTCGTTCCCAAGCCTGGAGACTCAACAGGCTGGCCATTAGCTTAGCAGGCAACTTAGTAGAGAAATCATGAAGTATTTGACTGATACTAGCTAGGATTCCAGCAGAAAACATTCTCTTTGGATAGCTTCTGCATCCCAACATGAACAAACTCACACATCCAAGCAAAATATTTTTAGTAAGAGCTTTTCTGATCAGCTGTAATTCTTAACCCCCAATTTCTCAGTATTTATAAAAGCCTGCATTCACTCTAGACTCATGTGGCCTTATCTGGCAGCCCTGAATTTTAAATTTTTATTTTCTATCACTTTATTGCCAACGTCAGCATCACTTGACACCAGGTCTCAGTGCAGCGGTAGCTGTCCCTCCCCAGCAGCTGTGGCTTCCTCCCCTCACCCACAAGCAACCATCTGTCCACTCCCCCACACCAGGAGCAGCCATGCTGCTGCTCGCAGGGCTGCAGTCAGCAAATAACTTCTTGTACTTGCTGGAGCCTGGAACAAAAAATACTTGTTGCTAATGCGAAGATGACTGTCAGTTGTACAGCTGCGCTTTAATCATCTATTTCCTCTCAAAGCCAAATATGGTAAACAGAGGAGTATAAAAGCCCTTCTTCCCACATGCCAAAATGGCAGGATTTTAAATAAATACTAGAAAAATGAACTAAATATAATATGAAGACGTTAATCGTGACTATCATATCTGTAGATGGAAAACCCATTAAAATAAAATCCAAAGCCTACAAATTAAAACACCGTGCATATTCAGTTATGTAAAGTAAGTTCGAACACGTGTTATACTACACCAGGCAGGACACGTCTTACTCTGACAATGACATACAGGACTTTATTTAAAATTGTTTTGTTCTCTCCTGCTCTATGAGACAGAAGATTGATAATTTAAAGATAAAACACATTTCCTTATTACACGTATTTTTCTTCCTTTCAGCTAGCCCTTTATGACAAGAAGAAAAATAAAAGCAGGAAGTAATTACAGAATCTGTTTGACAGATCTCGTTTGCCAATCTCCTTCAGTGTTGAAGTACAAGACTTAACTCTGTTCTCTATAAAAGGATGTTTATACTCTGTTCTGTTTTCTCCTTGTCTTAATGGTGTTTAGATTCTGTGATAGCCAGTTTCAATGTGTTGCTCATCACTCAGAGCTCAGAAAGTTATAGCACTTCATATTTTTTCCTAAACAAAAATTTTTATTTTTTTTAACAGAGTAACAATTCAGATGAGAATATTTGACTACCTGAAAATATTTTTATTGCTAGGTAACAAGGCACACAGATCCTTCACACAGAATGTCAATAAGCTTTACGTTTTAACACAAAAGTTTGAAGTTGGGAAAACCAAATCCGATTTGCCAAGACAGACAAGTAAATTAAGTATAATTTTACCAATCTCCTTGAGTCAGGCCTGGAAGCTTGCAATTGTTCAAATTCTTCTATTTTTGCTTGATCTACATCTTCTTTCAGCTCCCACGTACTGTCTTCATATGGCAATGAACACCATTTTACTAAATAGTAAATAACAGGCTGCAGAAGAAAATTCTGAATGTTATCAGCTTTTAGTTTAGTATACAGACTGTTAATATGCCCTACTATTTGAGTAGCCAGCTTACATGAGAGCTGGAAATAAAAGCACATTTCTGATACTCTTTAAAATGTTCGGTGTAGATTTTTGTTATCTACCTACTTATCCTTGGCTTCTCATGCTCTGGCACTTGTTGTAGACCCCTGGAGCACTTTTCAATCCCACTTACCCACAAGTAAGTCTTAGGAAAGTTAAATTACCACATTTGTGCTATGGGGGGGGGGCATTAACTAGAGGTTAACTACAAAGGTGCTACCCAGAACATTTCCTCCGCTTTCCAAATCCGGCTACCTAAGCCTAAAACAAAGAGCTTGAGAAAGTTCCTAAAACAGAGGTCTTCTCAACAAAACAGAAAGCTTTACAGGTCTGCCGGGCGACATATATAAAAATTTAGGCAAAGTCTCAAAAGATGGAACCAAAGCACATTATTTTACTTCAATTCACTAAATAAATATTTTAAAACCAAATAAAAACTCATCTTTCAAGAAGTTGGGGAAAAGTCTTATGACAACACATTTTTTCTAAAAGTGTAATAATGACAAATCTACTACATGCAATGAAAAGTAATTTTAACCCTCAACCCTGCTTTAGGAAGATTAATGCAGAAATCACTGGGTAAAAGTCTGCTCAGTTTGCTGTCTAAAGAGAACAGAATAAGTACCAGTTATTCCAATAGACTTAATCTACAACTTTGTCAGTCTTTGTTCTCTGCTTGCCTCAGACTCTTTCTGAGTGTTTGCAATTTATTTGCTTTTCTGTTTTCTTTTATTTATTTTCTAATCTCATGTTTTGGTTCTGTAACAGCTTTCCAGAAGAGGCACTTTAAGTTAAAAAAAAGAGTTTTGATAAATACAGAGGGAAAGGTCCACTGGTGACTATGAAAACACCTCTCAATCATTGGTTGCCGAAAGCCCAGGGACAGAATTAGAGAGGAACCACCACTGCCTTGCCTTCTTGTGCTTTTTTCAGCAGTTACCCCTTGTCACTATCAGAGATACAGGACTGTACATGGGTTCAGACTTGTCAGAACTGACAAGGCCATTATCAGACTTCACATTTATGTCAGTAACTACCTAAGCTTTGTCTACCATGACCTATTAATACCAATAAAAATAAACCATTGAACTCTGATTTCTATTTCAAAATACATGGTTAGCACAGGAAATTACAAGATTGTCATGTCTCATTAAAAATATTATCAAAGCTCAAAATCATTAAGGTGTTACTCTGAAATCTGCTAAAATTATGATTATCAAACACTACTTGGAGGTGTACCTTCTTGACGTGATTTAAGATATATTTACCTCACCAGTGTCCTTATCTTCACAAAGAGATACTTCTAATACCCGGTCTACTTCAACATAGTCAGGATTAAAAGGTTCTTCTTCCATCTACAATGCAAGATTAATAAAATCAGTAGAGAGGCAAAAAAAGCTGGTATATGCTAAGACTTGGTCTCATCATACACAAAATTAATTTGGCAGCTGGAAACTATTGAGGCTTTTGCACACACCTTAAAATCCCCCCACTCCCCTTTTTTTTGGCAACTACCACTGAAGAGCAATCTAACATTAGAATAGAAAATGCAGTCATTCAGGGATGAAGTGCTGTCTTGGAAAAGTCATACAGTAGAGAAACTAGCCATACTAACATAATCTTCCCCTCCTTACCACTTTTAAGTAGTTACCCAAACAATCCCAATTTTAAACCATGCAAGTCAGGTTAGTTCAGTGACTGCAGAAGACTCACTCTTAAAATTACATTAAACAAACAACCCCCTGCTGCAACCAAAAACCCAACCCCGATGGCTAAATTTTACTTCCAACATTCAGTTGTTCTATTTGAAAGCAAACTATTAACCACAATTTTACAAGGAAAAAAGCTTATTTAATTGTGTATTTCATACTCACATCTGCAAAAAAGTGAGCTCTTTGTGCTTGCCTTAGTTTGAATCGTTTTATTTTCTGCTGGATTCTTTTATCCTTTAAAAGCTGTTGTTCTGTGGCCCACTCACAGTGGAGATAAGAACTAAAATTACAGAGATTAACATTAACACATTAGTGAAAGCAAAACCTTACTATCTATTTTAATATACAGTTAAAATAATATATTTTATAAACCAGAATTTCACTCAAAAAAGAACATTTTATCATTTAAGACAGAATTCGCTGTAAAGATCAAAGATTTATTCCTCCAAATAATCATCTTACAGTATCTAGTTAAGGCAGCATTTTTGGGCTAGGATCCATAGAACTCTACGGATTCGCAAATTTCTTTTATGTGTCCTAAGAAGAGAAGTAAGCATCTTTAAAGTGATCTTAAATAAAGCAAGTTTAAAATCTGACACCTCTATCATAAACTACCCAGAGCTATAAAGCACTTAATACACTGGATCTAACTTTTTCATGTACTTCATATGAACATCTCTTCACAGGTACTGCTGAACTGTATAGCTGAGCCCATTAAAACATCAGTGAGGAGCATCAGAGCCCATGGCAAAAAGGAACATGCCATCAGATTGGGTTGGGAGAGAAGGACAAAGTAATGGAGCCAAAGGAAGGAGGAAGCATGAGTACCAGTACCTACACCATCTAACCGCACCCCAAGTGAGCCTTTCTGAAGGTAAATTGGTTTGACAAAAGTACATATATTTCTCCCTCACACCCCCTTGTTTAACATATTTTAATCACTTCTTAAGCTTTCTAAAGATATGCTAGAAATAAAGAAGAGCTATTGCTGGGTATTACTCATTCCTGGAAGAAAAGGCAGATTTTACCCTTTCAGAAAACAAGAGCTAAACACTCTCCAGAAACATGTGAATCTAGAGTCTCAAAGAAAAATGACAGTTATTAGCAAGAGTCTAATGAAATTACCCACATACGTAAAATTAAAAATGTGCATTTTCAACATCAAGAACTGAGTGGTGACAGGAAGATAGGTATGAAATATAAAATAGGAAAATATGGAAACAGTTGTTCTTCATTCTTTTTTTTTTTATTTCCTGCTTCTGATGTAAAATAATTTCTATCGCTAGAAGTTTTTTTCTTTTCAAAACAGTAAGACCAACTCCTACATCAACCTCTCCTAAATATATGACCCTGTAAATCTAATCTGGGTTCACAAAATAGCTCTGATTTAAATTACTGAAATTAAAATTGTGCATTTTCAACATCAAGAACTGAGTGGTGACAGGAAGATAGGTATGAATTATAAAATAGGAAAATATGGAAACAGTTGTTCTTCATTTTTTTTTTTTCATTTCCTGCTTCTGATGTAAAATAATTTCTATCGCTAGAAGTTTTTTTCTTTTCAAAACAGTAAGACCAACTCCTACATCAACCTCTCCTAAATATATGACCCTGTAAATCTAATCTGGGTTCACAAAATAGCTCTGATTTAAATTACTGAAATTAAAATTAGCCTCAGGCATGTAGCCCCTGCTGAATTTAATAAATATATCTTTTCTAAAAATTCTGTTCTTTTGGCAATAATGGCTGTAAGCTTATTGGTCAGTGCTGGTTTCACAGTACTGATAATTTTAAAATTATTACTAACAATATAATGCAGATTCTTCGCAATTTTAAGATTAAATTTGTAAAGAAAAGATGACAAAATCTGGTTGTAAGTAAACTTCAAACAATACAAAACTTTAGTACATGAATATGGTACTTATCGTTTCAGTCAACACCTCTAACGAAACAACTTTTTAATACTTACTAGTTCTTGTATTTTACAAAAAACTCTTCTGTTTCTACTGTCATCCCAGCAGATATCTAGAAAAGGAAATTCAGGGGAAATGTAAAATGGTAGACATAAAACCCTTTTTCAAATAAGCAACTTTATCCCATGACAATCACTTACTTCTTTCTTTATTACCCTGGAGGATAAGATTTTGTCTACAATTGCTGCGTCTTCTTCACTGGGATTTTCCTATAAATGCAGGAAAACAATGACATAAATTGCAGTGAACACCCTCTCTTCAAACTGATCAGTCTTAAAACAGTCAATTAATGACATAATAAATTGCAGTAAATGCCCTCTCTTCAAACTAATCAGGCTTAAAACCTTCAAACACAAGTGGCTTGTTAAAAGATCAACAATAAAGGCAAACTTGACCTCTACTAGTAGCATTCTCTTCAACATTCTGGGAGTAAAATTTTAAATCCAGGTCTATATCCAGAGAGAAATATATGCAGAAGTACAGTAAGTCTGGCACGTCCAAAGAGCATCAGATGCAATGCTCATCTGCCAAACACACTTAGAGTGCAAGCAATGGTGATTCTGATGCTTTCCAGACACAGACTCACTGGAAATGCCCTGCTGAGTTGATCTGATGCAGCGGACATACCCAGAATTTCGTTATACAGATATGGAGAAATAAGAACTCTGGCAGACAGGTTAAAAAAACATTAATAAAACAAAACCAGCATGTGTCAAACTCAATTTAATAGATTTACTCTGAACATAGATAACAAACATGCTGTGGAATCAGGCAGACAAGGTCGTGCCTGGGAATTCCAGCAGAGCTTAGATGTGACACAGATAGGGGATTACTTAGCTGTGCCAAGACTGAAGCTATGGTTCCAGAGATAAAGAGCCAATCTTTAAAGGTTGCTTCCAATAAAAAGTCACCTTCCCTCTTGCCTGATTTGTTCCCAATCATACTGCCTTTCTCCTTCCCTTACAACTTTGGCGTTCCTTCAAACATCTCACGAACACTTTTTTTCCTGTTTCTTTCCTGGCACTTTATTTACCTAGAATGCCTCAACAGTAAGTTTGAGTATCACAGCTGGCACAAGCTAAACAGTGAAGTGTGAACCTGAAGCGGGGGGGAAAAAGGGAGGAGTATCCTTTTTAAAAATCTCAGTAAGCAGAGATCCCCATAGGCTCCATTAATTTTATACTTCTGAAAGTCACGATAATATGAGCATACAGCTTTTTCATATGCCTACACAGCGTAACACATTATTTGAAATATACCTACTCTTAGTCTTACCCTTATCCTTGACTTCAGTTAAGTCAACCAATGTTTATAACAGAAAAGAAAAAAAATAGTAAAAGGCCATTTCTTCCAGTTTTCAAGATCTTAGCAAGATGTCACATTAAATAAACTATGGCTTAAAAATAATAATGTATTCCTTCCAAGTTACGAGCTTTATTCACTGAACTACTTGAGACAAATGGAAAGTTCCCACTACAGACCAAGCCAGTTTCTACTTACCACAAATAATTGTAAAGGTTGTTCAGGGCAGAATTCTTTTTGATTTTCACAGAAACTTTAGCTTCTTCTTCGGATTGTTTTCCTTCTCCTTCTTCAGCATATTTTTTCCTTTTAACTTGACGATTTGATCTTCTCTTCTGTATGCAGGAGCATAAAAATAGAGGTTTTACCAAAAAATTCCTCGAACATGAATTGCAAGCTTTGGAACACTCTAAGCAATACTTCATCTGTATCTAAAACCAAAGGCCAACATTTGATAGAAAACAAGAAGCATGTAAATCACAGAGGGATAGAAGTAGCCACATACTGTTTTCAATCAATGAATTTTTTTTTCCTGTTTCATATAAACATTTGATACTTTTATTTTTGGAGTTCAAAACCAAACATGGAACAGTATTTTCAGGGTATGGGAGCAAAGCTTATATATATAT